GACATCTCAGACAGGGCGTGAGGTTTCCACTTGGTGGCGGTACCCACCACCCCCTTCCAGCCAGACAGCCGCTGACGGAGGAAGAAGAGCGGCGCACACAATGCACTGCCTGCCTGACAAGGGTTGTGTCTCCCTCATTTTCACCATTAATTTCCAATTCAGTGGAAACTCATGAGAGGACAGCGCCTGGGCCAGTCTCGTTCTTTCCCCCGAGCGTTTTTCTCTCCGGCTTTGACGAGATTGAGAAACCACTGACTGGAAACGAAATCTGATGGTCCAACTTCTTCCAAACATTGGATTTACACAGCCCGACCGGAGGAGATCCGCAGCCCGGCGGGGGCTCGGCCGACACCCTGGAAATCGAGTCCGAGGCTTAGAAATTTGGGCCTTGGTTTTTTTTTTTTTTTTTTCAGCGAAGGAGGAATAACAAAACGATACCTCTGTGTGATGCACCGAAGTGTAATTATTCTCTGGCGTGTCGACGTTTCTAAAATATCCCACGTCCTCGTCCTGCTGCCTTTAAAATTTTGAGGGGTTTCTGCGTGTGGCTCAGCTAGCTAACAGCTGGATTTGCTAACGCTAGCTAGCCGAGGTGCTAACGTTACGTCTTTCTTTTGATGTGATGAGAATTCAACCATCACCATCATCGGCCATCAACATCCCAACAGGAGCAAATTTCCTGTTGGATACCGTGTATGTTCCCAGTCTGCCAGTGTCGCCCTCACTCTTCCCAGACACGTTATAACAATATCGTTGTATTTTTAGGCCGCTGTCAGACTATAATGTAATATATTGCGTTAGCCTTGTCCATGCTATCCGAGGGAGCTAACTGGCTGACCTAACGTCAAATACAAGTAGCCCTGCTACCTAAAATAAGATAGACAGCTCTTTTTGTTGCCTGGATTAAGCGTGATCTACTGTAGCTGTCAACAGTAACACGGTCCATTTCAGATTGATGTGAAATAACACCACGGAAACCTCTGAGTTAATGTTGGATAAAGATGTGATTGGCCTTGCTAGCTAGCTAACCGTATAATTTTGCTAATATATTTGTCAGGGTTTGCAGAAATAAGAAAATCCTCGGACGTTGTTTTAGGGAAAGTGGTTTTATTTTGCGTTGCACGTATACACACGTCAGTCCTTTCTGTCTGTTACACACCAAGACTGGTCTTTTTTGTTTACATGCGACCAACTTCTGTGGTGGTCGCTTCTTGCTAGCTAGCCAGCTAGCTAATAATAGCTTTTTAGTTGATACTATCAGCTATGTCTTGACAGCTGTTTTGTTATTCTTCGTTTAAAATTTACATTTGGATTCAAGTTCGTTTGGCAGATTAATTGAAATGACACTCAAATTTCGCCGAAAGAAAGGCACCGATGCCAATAGACTGTTGTCAGAGGACGGTAAATAATAGCCACTGGTTCCATTTACGCCATTTTAACAGAGGCTCCCTGTGAGGGGGGCAGTTTGGTGTTTTCCTTCTGCGGTTCGGTGCTTTTTCCACCGGACCGGGGGACTTGAATAAAGTGCCTTTTGGTCCCGTCGGATACACAAAAGGGGGGAGGTGGCGTCCGGACATGGAGGGCCCGAGCAGAAGCAACGAGAGACGGAGCCGGAGGTCCCGGTCCCAGCGCGACAGGGACCGGCGGAGGAGGAGGGTGGACCTGGCCGAGGACCGGGCCACGTCCCTGTCCTCGGGCTCCGACCGGGAGGCCAGCGGCACCAACGGCGTCCTGGGCCCCGGAGGGAGGGAGTGCCGGCCCGGTTTCGGCAGACACAGGCCTCCACGGCGGAGGAAAAGGGAGTCCGTGTCCTGCGAGGAAGACATCATAGACGGATTCGCCATTGCGAGCTTCATCAGCCTGGAAGCGCTGGAGGTAAAATGTCTTGATTTTGGCACCTTTTACGCACACTTTTACGCACACTTTTCATCGTGGTGATTGGTGACTATGGATCCTTTGGCACCTTTTACGCACACTTTTCATCGTGGTGATTGGTGTTTATGTTTATGTTTATACATTTGGCAGACGCTTTTATCCAAAGCGACTTGCAGAGTAGACACAATATTACATTTCTCATCACTATGACAATAAGCTATATAGAGGAGAAACACTGATCAGAGTCAGTGGTGACAGCAAGAGATAGAGGTAGAGGGACTACAGAAGGATTTGTGGGGGGATAGAGGTACGGGTTAGGATTAGGATAGGAGATGCTCTTTGGTGACTTTGGACCGTATCGTGACAGGCGGACAGTGGGGACACTTCTCTCCTTGTTTATTTGTAACAATCAGCTGTTTGGAGCAGTCAGTCCCAGCCGTGAGTGTGGTGATCTTTGCCCTTTTCACCCCTCCTCATCATCATGTCAAACCGAGCCTTGTTTCCCCAACAGAAGGTGTGAAAGGCTGCAGGGAAAACAATCCACTCAGGCAAATCTCAAGGCACGGGTTCAATTATTCATGCTCTATTTCTGGAAGGTGTTGATGGGCCGCCTAATAGCTTTTTAGGTAAAGAGGGAGAATCACTTTGTCTCGCTCTGACTGATCTCTTTATTATCAGGATTATGTCTCCTATTCCTCAACATTTTAGTGTAATAACTCGGGTTATCTGCCCATCCGTCACAACAAGGCAGGAAATTAAGGAGCGACATGAGTTCCCACTGTGCATTGAAAGCTTTCAAACATCATAATCATAAATTCATTATGTGTCATGATCTCAAATGCTGTGGGCTACAGAGGGGTGGATTAAAAAAATAATCTCTGGTGTTTAGGGTTAATCTACAGGTTATGTAGTAAAGCTCATTCACACAAATACACACTGACCCACTAATCTCCCAGACAACATGATTTTACAGTCAAATGAACCAGGGAATTTCAGGCTCTGTGATTGGTCGGCCTGAAGAGGGAAAACCACAGGATATTTCCCCATGAATTTCCTTCCTGGTTTTATTAGCTAAATTCACAATGTCACAGCAGTCATTTTGTAAACATCAAGGAAAAAAACTGCTCCATCCATCACACGGAAAAGACATTTAGAGCACGTTTCTGTCAGGAAAATCCATCTGCAGTCGAGGATTTATTTTTAAATGGCTTTTTTAAGGAGTTTGGAGTCACTTTTTAGTCGCTTCAATCTGCAATATAAGGATGTAAACCCCCCCAGGGGTCTGGCATACCACACACAACATACAAACGGACAATATCTCCTACTCTTAACAGTTTGCCACATCTTTTTCTTTTAGTTTTTTTGTTAGATATATCATTACTGAGGTATAATAAAGATGTAAAGCTGAACAACATCTGCCCATAAACTCTCACCACAGGTGACTCAAACCTGTCGGCACAGGGGTGTGATCAGATGGAGCTCTTCCCCCTTTTTGTTCATGTATTTTTCAACAGCTTCTGTCATTTCCACGTGTTTCCAGATAATCTCTTACATTTAAGCAGAAAAAGGCGACATTTTGTGCTGCAAAAATACCTTTAATTTTTTTGTATTTGTATTCTGATCATCTGCAGTTTTCCAAGAGTCAGAAAAGTGGTTAAAAAAAAGTGAACCTCTTTTTAATTTTCATTAGTCTTATAGCCTTTAACTAAACTTCTAATTTAGCTTTATTTGTGAATGAGGGGTGTTGAATATTTAATGTATAACACTGCAGCAAAATACTGAAATAACTATTAGCTCAAACCGGTCCACTGAGTATAAATATGAGCTTATTTGTCATAAAACAGCATTTTTTTTGTCTTTGAGAGCAAAAACTCAGCTTTAGCCAGCTGTACAGGAAGCGAATTGCCTGTTTTTGTAGTTGGAATCTGAATTATTTTGGTCCATAGATTGATTCCCACCTGACAACTGTCCGGTTAAAATGGCCCAGGCTGCAATGAGGCTGGATTTGATGAGATGCGGTTTCACAAAGTGATGGTTTCCTGCTAGGATTTGATCCACTCCATCGTGCCATGGCATCTCTGTGGGCTCAGACGTGTATCAGCATGCCGTTTTTTAGACCTTAGCAGTGAACCTCTGGTCCCTCCTCCTCAGATGGACTGTTCCCTGAAGCCCAATCAGCGCACCGATATGCTGGGAAGGAAGATTAAGGGCAAACGGGGACCAGAGGAGAACGGCGGAGGGCCGCTTTCTGAACCGGAGGAAGGAGGCCCGCACAGCCACTCCAGCAGCTGCAAGAACAAAAACAAGAGGAGAAAGATAGAGGTGAGCCACCGTTTTTTGACTGGAGACTTTATAGGCGCTCATCGTCTTTGAAATAATCCTTAATTAAACAAGTGTGTTTACAGTTCTGTGCTGCTAATGACTTGTTCGTCCTGCTCTTCAGGGCAAGAAAAACTGGTTCACTGCCACACTTATTGAACTTGATTTATTAAAACCAAAGTAAAAAAAATGATGTAATCCTCGAATAACCTGTGCAACTCACACATGATTTCTTATTCTTCCATTCAGGGGTCACTTCTGGAGACCGGCTACATAGTGAGTTTCCTTTCTTACATCATAGTTAAGTGAGTTTACATGAGAATAAATGTTCCCGTGGATGTTAATATGTGCTTTTCTTCCTTTTTGTTCTCTCAGTGCGACACTGAGAGCGACGCTGGAGATAAGGTGTGTACATTCACAGCTTCTTCCTATTAAAAGCCTTCACTTTGGCCCCTCTGAGGGGGGAAAGTCTGTTTCCTGACGGGTTTGAGTTGACTGTGGTGGAACCGCAATGTGACCGTAATGAATCGGATGTTTTGTTTCTCCCTTTTAGGCCTCCGACAACGACGTGGATCCGGTGTTCACAGTCAGCACCAGAAAAGGTTCGAGACTTCTGACTTCATTTCATGTCCTGATATGTCTGAAACCCGGCATCCCTGAGTTCACATTTAGATCTTAACCCACAATTTGGGGTCAAGCCAGGACATTTCCCTAAAGAGACACATAGGTATTATTTAGACTGAATGTTTAAGTTACAATCGATTTATTTTATATAGCTCAAAATACTGTTAAATGGTGTGTCAGATCTGAGACAGTCAGCATATGAAGTGAGGCTTTAAAAAGTAAACAGATCAGAAAAATGACATGTTTGGTGCTACAGGTGACTGTTTTCCATCAATACTGCAATTTAAAGTAGAGTTTAATGCATCTTAACTCAGAGTCTATGAACAATATTATAGAATATCTAAATATTAAATCAAATATATTAAAAAAGTAATTTATAAGAAAACAAAATGGGAAATCCTTTGGCTGAGGAGGAGAATATGAACCCCAATTCCAGTTAAAATGATGTAAATACAGACTACGGTTATCTGGTCTTCTCCTGTATTCAGGTGATTGATCTGCAGACCTGATAGTTTGTGTTTCATCACCTTTTATTTTATCGGTTTAGAAACTTCGGAGGTTGATTTTATCCCGTTCCTGTCACTGAGCTCTGAGCACTGAGAACTGAGCTCACAGGAAGCCGTCCAGGTTTTTGTCTTTGGTTAAAAAAGCCTGGTGTTGTAGCATTTCTCTGTCAGATGTGCTACCTGGTGTATTAGCATTTCTCTGCCAGATGTGCTGATTGGGGGCTTTTCTCTCTTTTCCAGCTGTGGACGGCGCCCCGTCGAACGTGAGCAAAAGCCTCCCGCCGCTGCCGGTGCGGGTGGGCGCCGTGTCCCTGCTGATGGTCACGCCCCGGGTGTCCGGCCTGGAGCGCAGCCAGGAGAAAAGCCTGGAGCCGGACTCCGTCTCCTCTTCTACCTCTTCCGCCCCGCTCTTCTCCTGCCTCCCCCCCCACCCGGAGGCCGGCGGCGTGCCGAGGCCTCCGGGCGCGCTCAACGGCGCCGGCCGCCATCACCACAACGGCAGCCCGCCGCTCTCCAAACCCAAGCCCTTCCTCTCCCTGCCCGGGCAATCCCACTCCATGTACAAACTCGGCAACAGGTGTGTTCTTGTTCTTCTTGTTGTTGTTGTTGTTGTTCTTCTTCTTTTTCTTCTGCTTCTGCTTCTTCTTCTTCTTCTTCTTCTTCTTCTGCTTCTTCTTGTTCTTGTTCTTGTTCTTGTTCGGACAATCCCACTCCATGTACAAACTTGGCAACAGGTGTGTTCACGGTGGAGTTTTCTTCTTCTTGTTTTTCTTCTTGTTCTTTTGCTTCTGCTTCTTCTTGTTCTTCTTCTTGTTCTTCTGCTTCGTCTTGTTCTTGTTCTTCTTCTTGTTCTTCTGCTTCTTCTTGTTCTTGTTGTTCTTCTTCTTCTTCTTCTCCTCCTCCTCTGTAAACGGCAGATGTTTACGCTTTTGGATCTTCTCTCTTCCAGGAGCAGCACGCCGGTCAAACCTCCGTCGGCGGCGGCGTCCGTCCCGTCTTCCTTATCCTCCATGCGTCCCACCACTCCCTCCACCAGTGTGTCTCTGCCATACAGCCGGGGCTCAGGATCCTCAGGGCCCCTGCGGCCCCCCTCCAGAGCCAGTTCCGGGGCCCTGTTCACCCCCTCCCCCAGCCTGCCTCCCCCTCCGCCTCTGCTACAAGGTCTGGAAGCCGGAGACGTTTTCTGGGCGTTTGCTAGTTGGTGGGAGAATGAGGACAGAAAAAGTTACCAGAAAAAAAAAACCCAGACCCAGACTTCCTCTGCCGGTCGTCTGGGGCTTTTGGGGAAGTAGAGCGTTAGCGGAGGGGGATCTTGTAGATTCAGACGAGCATGTGTGAAGCACGAGTTTATATTTGTCGTACTTTGTAACCTTTACTTTGTAATTCCTGTTTTTTAGACCGAGACTTGGAATTAGACTTGACTCCTTCAGGGAAATTCAATTTCCAGCTGCCTAGCAGGACAGAAGCAGCACACGGAGGGCAAAAAAGAGGAAAAGCTAGATTACAAAATTCAGTATAAAACGTAATACAGAAACTAAAACTAACCTTAACTTATCAATTTACATAAAGGAAGGAAAAAATAGCAAATAAGAATATAAATATATGACAAAAGGCACTGTTAAACTAAATTAAATCAGATTGTTATTGCAGTGTAGTTACAGACTGAATTATTGCACAGGGTTGAACATTTGCTGATAGATAATTAGGTATTCTATTATTATAATAATATAGATATAATGTTATATATACATATACATATATTAGCTGTACCTCCCACCAGTGAGTAGTTGTACATCCTGAGGGACAAAGGAGTTCTTAAGTCTTAAGTTTTAGGTTTTTTGATCCATGAATCCACACACACTCTCTTGGCGACCATCTAAACTCCCACTTTTTGCCGGCAGCAGAGCGTGAGGGCCGGCGCAGCGTCCCGGGTCCAGAAAACGGCGCCACGCCGGCAGGCCGCTCCACCCCCGGCGGGCCGTCCAGCTCGGTGTCGGGCTCCTCGGGCCGGGCCTCGCAGAACCAGACCAGCATGCCGCCGCTGGCGCTCCAGTTCCATCATCACAACCACCAGCACCAGCACACGCACACGCACCAACACTTCACGCCCTTCCTGCATCCCACCGCCACCGCGCCGCCTCTGGTGAGACGCCGTTACCGGCCCTTTATCTGCCCTTTATTGGCCCTTTACCGGCACTTTTATCGG